GTAGGCCTGGAAGGGATCTCTGGAGGTCATGTGGTCTGGCCCTTTGCTCAATTCAGGATCAGTCTTGACTAAACCATCCTGGTTAAGTGTTTGTCAGATCTGCCCTTGATAATTTCCAATGATGGAGTTTCCACTACTACTCTAGATACCCTGTTCCAATGCTTAACTACCGTCATAATTTGAATTTCTTGCTAATCTTTAACCTAAATTTCCTCTGATGTAGTTTGAGACCATTGTTCCATCCTCTTTAAAACTGTCCTTTAGATCAGGGGTTGTCAACCAGGGGCACACGTACCCATGGGGGTACTTGGAACAGTCCTAGGGGGTACATATGAGCAGGTGGAGACAGAGCTCTGCTGCCTCCCAGGAGCAGGGCCGGGGTGAGGCAAGGGCAGTGTGCGAGCTTCCCTGCCCTGCAGAGGGGCGCCACTCCTTTGGCCCTGCCTCGCCCCAGCCCTGCTCCTGGAAGTGCAGCGGCACTCTGTCCCTGCATACCATCCCCGCCTCCCCGTGCTTCTTCCAGCTGCCAGAGGTACTTAGACTAAAAAAGGTTGAAAACCCCTACTTTAGACAAGTGGTTCTCAGTTTGTTTCTGTACCAAGATCCATTTGTAAACATCAATGGCCAGGCCCAACTCACTAAATAGTTTAAGTAGAAAATAGCCCCCTGGCTCTGCCTCTCAGTCTCAACACCCAGCCCTGCCCCCCCCCGTCCCTACTTGTACCCCTCACTCCTGTGTGGGCAGGGGGGGTTGCATGAAGGGGCATGTACTACACCCCCCCAGTTTGCACCTACAGCAGGCATGGGGCTGTAGCCTGGCTGGAGTGGCATGGGCAGGAGCTGCCTCTCCAGTCCAGCTGGCAGGACTTGGTGCGGGAGGGCAGAGCGGGGTGATGAGACTCATTGCTGCCACTGCTGCCAGAACTCCAGCAGCATGAGGAGTAATGGACAGCAGGGGCATGCAAGCTGCCCTCACCTTCTCCTACCACCAGTCACTCATGCTTCAGACTGCAGCTCTACATACTGCTATGACCCAGCCTCTGCTGCCACTTGTCTCGGGCCACAGCTGTACCCTAGAGAGGAGGCGGGGTGGCAGGCAGTGTCACCTTTGCCCCTTGACACGTCATCTATGCTCCCCTGCTCCCCCCATAGACTTACCTGCAAGGAGCTGCAGGAGCTGCTCTCCGCACTGCCTGGCTGGCATGTGCATGTGTGCACACGCACATGCACATGCCTCAGGGGTCCTGCCTGATCGCCCTCCTCCTGCTCCCCCTAGCCCCAAGCACCCCCTTGCAGGCTGGAACTCTTCCAGTCTGGAAGGGGAAACCAGTTGTTTCCCAAATTTTTTCTCCTTTAGAGGAGAATCCATTTTTAAAGTTGATCCATTTTTTAAACTTTGTTTGCTCCCCTTTCATATATTCTTGCAACCCACAGGCTGCTTTAGATATTATCTAGCAAAGAGATCCAGTTGTCCAGAGACATTCAGAATGGAAATCTGACCAGCTATAAAAAAAAATATTGAAAGCCTTCCCATTTCAAGAAATTCTTGACCGTAATTGACAGAATATTTCAAATACTTGAAATAACTGACACTCAGAATTTGAACGGCCCTTTCATTTTAACCATTCCTTCCCCTCCAAAAAAAATCCAACCCTAACCTAGGAAGAGTTAAAATCCAAAAAGGAGAGAAACCCCTTAAGGATACTGTTACTATTACATAGTTACTATTGATTTTATATGAAAGTGCCCCTTACTGTGTTAGTGGGTGGCTGTATAAAGCCCTAAGAATGATAAATAGAGGAGAGGAATCAGGTGTCAGGCCAAGTAGAGGAGAGGAACCAGGAAGGGAGATTTGTTTGTTATGAAGTGTGAAGTTGTTTTTACATGTATACATGTATCCATAGTATTTGTATAAAATACCATATACAGACTTCATACACCTGTTTTAATATATTAGTTTGGGACTGTGGTATATTGAAAACATAACTGGTAATTAAGGAGATACTGAGACTCTGCTCAGATAGACCTTCCATGTGAAGTCCACGTATAACATAGTCAAATTACAGTGTCTGTAAGATCTTTGCTTCTAATTTCTGACTCTTTAATGCTAAAGTACATATTATAATATGAGGGATAACAGTTTGTGTTTACTTCTTTTTTTAAAGAAACCATGTTTGGGGAAGTATGGGAAACAGGGAGATGGTCTTATACAGTCTTTCACTATGGACTTTCACAATTGCATAGTCAAACATTTACGCAAGGATTGAACAACAGGGAAATAAAAACATAAAACCACACCCATGTACCTAACATTGATGGTATGTATTTATGTTATGCTGTAGTCTAGTAAACAGCATAACAACTCCAAATGCATTCAGAATTTTGTATTCCTCATTGGATTTTTCAGTTGCTTTTAACTTTGATATTTTATGCTTTTCTTACTTGGAGCTCTAGTCTTCAGTGACAACTGGCCACATGGGAAATGTAAATTTCAGCTGTTTTAGGTTCCACATATAAAAATTCTTACATGATTTATGGCAGAGATAAAAATAGTGATTTTATTTTCCCTTTTGTAACTTAAAATGGGTTAAAGTGTTTTTACTCAAGACGTTAAACAGTCACGTTAGAGATCAACTTGAAAAGTTCTTTGCCAAAAAGTAGTAGTGTTTAGAAAATAAGAAGCGTGTGGACACACAAGATTTGTAATTTATCTTTCAGCCCTTGTAATAGTTTTTATGAAAACTCTAATCTGTACATTATGATTTTTGTTTTTTAATTTTGAAAAAAATCCATATAGTTTGAGTTTCAGAAGTGACATCGAGTATTGTACCAGTGTCTTGGGAACAAATTTAACTTAAAAACCTCACTGCTTTTTGGACATTGTTTGTCTGCTATTTATAAATAGGTTACAGAATATTTTTTTCTGCATTAAATTTGTTTAGTGCATTTAACTGTACTTCAGGCTTGGTGCAAAGCCTTTTGAAGTCAATGCGAGAAACTGTGGACTTCAGTGAGCTTTGGGTTAAGCTTGCTGAGCATGGGCACTTCCACTGCTTTCCATTGTGGTGTCATAGGCAGGTCACAGAGCGGATAAGAATACTGCATTGGCACCAAAATCAACTCTGCCTTATGTAGCTTTTTCAGAGAGCAATGGGGGAAGAGGGAAGGAGGTTTAAAAAAAATTACAAACTAACATGGACTCAAAAATGAATGTACTTTAAAATTTTTTAATCATTAGGATTTCAAGCTGATCCATTTCTTTTATGCTTTCAAAAATCAAATAATGTATTGAAAATGAAAAATTTACTTTTTATGTAACAGTTATCCATAACGTACAAAAGGAAGGTATTAAATGCTCTTGCAATCATGTCTCTTCAGCTCTATATATTTCAAGATTAAATATTACCTCTGAAGCAATGTATGTGTTCTCCATTTTATGTACTATATGTAGTTTTTTATCTTAACATGTCAAAAAGCAAGAAGCAGTAAGTCCCAAGAGATTCCTGAGAGACAAGCAGACATCTCCATTTTATAAATGGGGAAACTGTGATGCAGCAAGGTCATATACACAAGGTCAGTAGCAGAGTTGGGAATGGAACAGAGATTCCTAAATTCTCATTTCTGTGTTTTGACTGTAGACTACATAGTCACTAGTCAGGTCACCTAAAACAGAATGGAAGAGGTGGCAGGAGGGAACTGGGAATTCATCTGTTCAGCATGTATTGAAGATCATGGGTTTTCTTTTAAAATGAAAACAATACATGTTTGGACTCATTGTTTTGCTTCCAGAAGTTATTTTTGTCCTTAAAGCCTTCCAGTCACTTTTCTGACCTGCATGTTATGCCAACTCTTTATCTGTGTACTGCCCATGGGCATTCTGTGTCATTTGCTTGCTTATTTGAAAAAACCCATTGTTACTCTTCCCTGGCTATCTTGCCTTTCTAGTGCCACAATAGAGGGACCTAATTTTCATTATGGGCTGTGTATTGCCAACAAAATAACTTCACTTCTGTTGTAGAAGTTGTATTACTGCTGCTGGTTTTCTCCGATATAAAAAAATCCCCAATTTCCGGTTTTAAAAAAAGTAACCCCAAATCCACATTTTTCCATGATTAAAATGAAACGCCACTAATATATATGTCCATATATATGTGGAAAAATATGGATTTGGGGATTTTTTTCAAACTGGAGAAAACCAGGATCCTTGATGATGATGCACTAGCCAGGAAGAATACAGCTTAAGCTACAGCTCCTACATTGCATTAGCAAGGGAGGTAATTAGAAAAAGGCAAGTTATAAAATAAACAAGTTTTATTGCAAACTAGTACTATCCATATTAATATGGAACCTTAAAACACTGTTTTCAGAAAGGGTTCACTTTATAATGAAAAATGGCTGCCTTAAACAACTATTAAGGGAACAACAAAAAAAGGTTTCTCTTTAATTAAAGTAACCCACTAAGAAAAGTAGAGTAGATCTGTAACCTTGATTCTTGCACCTCATGTAGTCATGCCATTAAAAAAGCATTTAAAAATGTCACCAGTCTGAGTTGGCAGTGTTTTAGGTTGGTATTCACTTTGTATAAATGACTGCAGGATGTGAAAGTGGTAGAGGTTCAAGTCACTGATGATGTTTTGGGCTGATCATTTGGAAGGGTGATGAAGAGTGGCTTCCTAGCTGACTTTATTGTATTATATGTAGTTTCAAGTGATGAAAGTACGGAACTAGCTTCTCTGGACATACTTACACATGTTCCATGGTGGGGGTGGAGCTTTCATTAATATGGCTCCAACAGCCGCTGTAATTAAAATGCCCAGTGTCACATGTATTTGGCATCTCGTGCTTCAAAATGGTGACGGGCACTTTAATAACTAAAGGTCGTTGAACCAGCTTTAGTTAAAGCACCTCCACCGCCATTTTGAAGCACAGGGATGCTGAATACAGGTTTTGTGGAGGCTTCTGGAGCCTGCTAATTGGCACACATCAGAGCAGGTGTCCAGCATGCGTATAAGTGTCCTCTGTGTTTAGTTGGAAGGACCTTTTTAATGCTCTAAAATTGAAGTGGAGGATTCTGATGGAACAAGGGAGAGGCTTGTAGGTTCATTAAAAACTTTCTTTAGCTACATAAAAACTACAGTAACTTGGTGGTCAAGAGTAACTTCTGTGCTGCTTAGTACATCTCTTAAACTAGCTGCCTTTCAGACTCTTCCATTTTCATTCATCCAGGGCTGCCATATTTTAAATACTTAATTTGAAGGAGATAAAGAGGTAGATTTTTTTAAAAAAATATTTCTTAGTATTATGAAACTGTAGCCCACCCTTCTTCTATTTTAAGTGCATTGGGTGAAAGCTGTTAGGATATGGATTAGGGGTGGACAGTTATTTCAGCTGGTGGGCCACATAATGAATTTTGGGAAGCTCTCAAGAGCTGTACACACAGTTTTTCAGAAGATATTATTTTAACAAATTATAGATAAAAAACGCATCGTACTAAAAATCAAACATCTACTATAACATACTTTAATTTTAAAAAGTGCTGATTTATGGTTTTTGAGTAAGTATATAGAGATAATTACTAGGGACCTACCGAATTCGCAGTTTTCACAGAAACCAGTCATTTGGTCTCTGCGAAAAAGCACGGGCACCACAAAAAGACACAAAATCAGCAGGGTGGGGGGCTGTAAAAACAGAAAAGGGCAGGAAGCCCTGACATCCTGAAGCATGGGGGGTGACATTTTTGCAGTGGAACAGGGCAAGGAGCATGACATGCCTCTGACTGGCCAAGAGGCCCAGGAAGTCTGGTAGATCTCTGTCAGTCTCCAGGGAGGAGCAGGACTTCTGGAGCCCCATAGCCAATTGCGGGGGTGGGGGGAGGAGTAGTGTGCCATGCTCCACCACAAAAATTACACCCCGCACTGCACTTGAACCACAGTATTGGGGGGCAGCCACCCCAAATTCAGTAGGTCCCTAGTGATTGCATAATAGCTCAAAATAAAGTCTTACTTTTGTATATTGGGCATGTTGGGGGGTGCATGTTTGTAAAGGGCTGCATGCGCACTGGGTCCTGGGAACCAGCTGGGGATGGGGGGCAGGGGGAGGGATGGA